TAAACGTATAGATATACATGCATCAATGCATGCATGCTTACGTACAAACATGCATAAATAGGTACATACATACATACATAGACAGGTAGATTCTAACCTGATAATCTGGAGACACATTTTCTGACATGATTAAGTACATCATCTGAGAGAATGCTTCATCGGCACCCGTGAGAAAAGCTTCTTGAATGCATTTGTCCATTTCTTCTTTCAAAGTATTATCGAGCTCAGCTGTAAAAAAGTAATTCAATTTTTTAACAGTCAATCTTTTTTGTAGTAGCTTTCTTTTATATCCAATTAATACAACTAATTCTACATAAAATGAACATTCACCACTTATTTTTACTCTATGTTGATGATAAGCACCTATTCTTGCAATAATGAGCCAAGCCTATGTAACAGGTGGCAAGGATATGCATCACACACAGTTAGCCTGCTTCAAGTGGTGCACCCTAAAGTTGCTTACTTGTTTGGCCCTAGGTGTGGCTATTTATATATTATCGACTCTTAAAAGTGGAGTTATTAGTCGCAATTGCTGGAAAATTTTGTATGCATCAGCTAATAATACAAAGAGTGGGGTAAACTTGTCCTCCTATGCTTCCAATTTTTCTCTCAGGATTGCTACTATTGCCACTATATCTATAAATGCAAGTTTCTAAGGCCACTTTCACACCAAGGTAGCACGTCACACATTTGCACACCATTTGAAAACAAGAATCCAGAAAAATATGAAACTCTTCACACAGAAGTGGCCTATCACGTCTCATATGCCTTATGCAATCTGCGTGGAACACCACATCACTTCTGTGTTAAATGTTTCGTAAATTCACAGAGGTTTGTTTTCAAATGGTATACTCACACTTTTTTATCAATGAAAATAATGCAAAAGACTCTACCTAAACTCCAAACAAGTCTAATCACTCTCCAGGAGCTTTGTACACTTGTAGCAAGTCATTTCTGTGACTTTAGCCTTACGCCAAAATCCTCACAACGGCAAGTTCACATCACCCCCGACACAGCCAAATTTTCCCAAGACAGCTTGTTCACATCTCTCAAACCAAATTTTTTCATGATGCTAATAGTCATGTCATCGAAATCGTTGGGGTTAATTCATCATTTGTGTTCATACAGATTTTCCTGTATATAAACAAAGTTTATTTTATTTCTCAAGAAAAGACAAAAAAGCAGTTATTTCTTTCTTCTAGGCACAAACTTGCATTGTTCTTCAAACACACAATGTTTGTCCTTCCCTGCCTGCGAGTGTGATATTCGCTGGCATGGAGAACGATGATATTTCTGATTATTATCATGTAAAGGGAAAACGTAGATGATTATATGATATGGAACTATTTCATATATCATTTGTGATCCATACTGTAAAAAATCTGAAGAGGAAAAAAATCACAATATTTTAAACACTTTCACACATAGCACAAATATTTCCAGTCCAAAATAAATGTAATAGGGCTCATTTGTAGCTGAACAGTATATCTATTGCATGATGCATTTAGTTTTGGTAATTTTTTCATGTGCTTCACGTAAGAGTGACAAGTCCATTTTATAGTGTTCTAAAAGTTGTCTAAGTAAAATATTCACACACACACAAAAAAAATTGAAATCAAATACACATGCAAATTCTAAGGAAATTCAACTAATGAAGCCTTTGCATATGTTGAGAAGGCATGAGTGAGAATGAATATTTTCACACTGCAAGAGATGAATTTGAAATGTGGGTTCCATGTGACTTCCTGGTGATACGCAACACTAAATGGCAGCTCCATCAATCTCATTTCACATAATAATAATGTGTTCCCTTTTCATTACTGGTCAAGCGTACTTCATAATAACATGAAATCAATAAATAATTTTACATCATATAAAGATGCTTGCACGAACAGACCGCTGTTTTGTAACAAATCCATACCCACCTCCAGTACCCTTGCTGAATTCACTATTTATGATGTTGCTTCTAGGTTCTGGTGCAGGTGCACTGGACCCTAAGCTTAGTGTCTGCTGAGACATCTGCTGTGTCCAAGCTGCTGCAGTCTTCTGGCCACTCTGTCTCTGCTCCAGCTCTTTATATGCCTTCAGCATCTCAGGTGTTTGGTAGCTGGTACTTCAAAACAGCAATTATTAAACTTAGTACACTCAACCACAAATTTAGGAATATTTGTAATTATAAACATGAATATTGTAAATATTCACACAAATTTTGCTAACACACATGCACTCTACCAAACTACTGTGAGTGACAAAGCAAGCTCCAGAGATGAGCTATGTACAAATACCATATATCCCACAATCTTAATTCCATGATTTATAGTTCACAATATAGCATAAAAGCACTGCTTTCTCTAAAAAAGTGCCTAGGCTACTCTAATATGAAGTTATTTTGAAACTATTAACCATTGTGAACTTCATCACCCCCAAATGGCTCCACAAGTGTTCAACCACTAAGACGTAAATTAATAGCACAATGTGACTTCACATGATTTCCCTATTCTTTGAACATTCATGATCTTTTTAATCTAATACAATTAAAATTTATACTGTAAGTATCATTATTAACACTAAAATCATTATCACCTTCTCAAAATACTAATAGCAATACAGAATAAAAAAAAATTCTTCTAAAAATCACAAGAAAGGATTGATATTTCATAGAGATAAGACTTGCAATAGATTCCTTGGTGACTAAGTACTTTTGGAGCTCACCATGCATAATCATAATCAATACACTCTCTTTCTCTAATACTTACCTCTCTCTTTCTCTCTCTCTCTCTCTCTCTCTCTCTCTCTCTCTCTCTCTCTCTCTCTCTCTCTCTCTCTCTCTCTCTCTCTCTCTCTCTCTCTCTCTCTCTCTCTCTCTCTCTCTCTCTCTCTCTCTCTCTCTCATACTTTCTCTCTCTCTCTCTCATACTTTCTCTCTCTCTCTCTCATACTTTCTCTCTCTCTCTCTCTCATACTCTCTCTCTCTCTCTCATACTTTTCTCTCTCTCTCTCTCATATTTCTCTCTCTCTCTCTTCTCTCATACTTTCTCTCTCTCTCTCTCTCTCTCTCTCTCTCTCTCTCTCTCTCTCTCTCTCTCTTTACTTTCTCTCTCTCTCTCTCATACTTTCTCTCTCTCTCTCTCATACTTTCTCTCTCTCTCTCTCTCATACTTTCTCTCTCTCTCTCTCTCATACTTCTCTCTCTCTCTCTCATACTTCTCTACTCTCTCTCTCTCTCTCTATACTTCTCTCTCTCTCTCATACTTTCTCTCTCTCTCTCATACTTTCTCTCTCTCTCTCCTCTCATCTCTCTCTCTCTCTCTCTCTCTCTCTCTCTCTCTCTCTCTCTCTCTCATCTCTCTTCTCTCTCTCTCATACTTCTCTCTCTCTCTCTCTCTCTCATACTCTTCTCTCTCTCTCTCTCTTACTTTCTCTTTCACTTCTCTCTCATACTTCTCTGCTCTCTCTTCTCTCTCATACTTTCTCTCTCTCTCTCTCTCTCTCATCTCTCTCTCTCTCTCTACTTTCTCTCTCTTCTCTCTCTCTCTCTCTCTCTCTCTCTTCATCCTCTTCATCACTTCTCTCTCTCTCTCTCTCTCTCTCATACTTTCTCTCTCTCTCTCTATCTCTCATACTTTCTCTCTCTCTCTCTCTCTCTACTTTCTCCTCTCTCTCTCCTCTCTCATACTTACTTCTCTCTCTCTCTCTCATACTCTTCTCTTCTCTCTCTCTCTCTCATACTTTCTCTCTCTCTCCTCTCATCTTCTCCTCTCTATACTCTCTCTCTCTCTCTCTCTCCTCTCATACTTCCTTTCTCATCCTCTCTCTCTCTCTCTCTCTCTCTTCTCTCTCTCTCTCTCTCTCTCTCTCATACCTTTCTCTTTCTCTCTCATACTTTTCTCTCTTCTCTTACTCTTCTCTCTCTCTCTCTCTTCATACTTCTCTCTCTCTCTCCTCTCTCATACTTACTCTCTCTCTCTCTCTCTCTCTTCTCTCTCTCTCTCTCTTTCTCTCTCTCATATCTCTCTCTCTCTCTCTCATATCTTTCTCTCTCTCTCTCTCTCTCTCATACTTTCTCTCTCTCATACTTTCTCTCTCTCTCTCTCTCATACTTTCTCTCTCTCTCATCATCTCTCTCTTCTCTCTCATACTTTCTCTCTCTCTCTCTCATACTTCTCTCTCTCTCTTTCTCTCTCTTCTCTCATACTTCTCTCTCTCTCTCTCATACTTCTCTCTCTCATCTCTCTCATACTTTCTCATCTCGTCTCTCTCTACTTTCGCTCTCTCATACTTTCACTCTCTCTCATACTTTCTCTCTCTCTTCTCATACTTTCTTCTCTCTCTCTCTCTCTCTCTCATACTTTCTCTCTCCTCTCTCTCATCTTTTCTCTCTCATCTCTCAATACTTTCTCTCTTCTCTCTTTCTCTCTCTCTACATCTCTCTCATACTTTTTCCTTCTCTCTCTCTCTCTCATACTTCCTCTCTCCTCTCTCTATTCATCTTACTCCTCTCTCTTCATCACTCTTCTCTTCTCTCTCTCTCATACTTTCTCTCTCTCTCTCTCTCTCTCTCTTTCTCTCTCTCTTCTCTCATTACTTTCTCTCTCTCTCTCTCTTCTCATACTTTCTCTCTCTCTCTCTCTCATACTCTTCTCTCTCTCTCTCTCTTCTCTCTACTTCTCTCTGCTCTCTCTTTCTTCCTCTCTCTCTCTCTCTCTCTCTCTCTCTCTCATACTTTCTCTCTCTCTCTCATACTTTCTCTCTCTACTCTTCTTCTCTCTCATACTTCTCTCTCTCTCTCTCTCTCTTCACTTTCCTCTCTCCTCTCTCCTTATTTCTCTCTGCTCTCTCTCTCTCTCTCTCTCTCTCTCTCTCTCTCTCTCTCTTCTCTCTCTCTCTCTCTCTCTCGTCTCTTCCTCTCTCTCTCTCATATCTTTCTCTCTCTCTCTCTCCATAGCTTTCTCTCTCTGCATAGTTATGTTACTCTCACTTATCTCATACTTTTCTCTCTCTTCTCTCTCAATACTTTCTCTTCTCTCTCCATGAGCGAGTCAGAGATAAGCGTCTCTTCTCTCTCGCGTTAGTACGTGCTCTCTCTCTCTCCTCTCATACTTTCTTCTCTCTCTCAGTGCATACTTTACTCTCTCTCTCTACATACTTCTCTCTCTCTCATACTTATGGATGGGAGCGTGACTGCCTACGAGAGTGGGACAGGTTTCCGGGGTATGTAAAGGACGGGAATGGGGTGAGGGAGGCAGAAGAGTATAGGGGAGGGAGAGGAGAAAATAAATTGATAGGAAAAAAATGATGGATGGCTTATTGATATACTTTATACTTGACATGTCTCTGCATCGAGTAGCACGTATGGGTGCTCTGCTAACTACATGTGATACATGTGCTTCTCTCTCTCTCTCGGGGATTCTGAGCTGACTTGTGTATGGTGTGTGCAATAGCGATCTCGTTCTCCTCTCGTACAAAAATAACTTTCTCTCTCTCTGTCACGGAAGTAGAACAGATTATGCATACAATACAGTCTAGCTACGTGCAGAATGAGCTTATCTGCTACTGTATACTACGACATAGTAAGGCTAGAAGAAGAAAGAGATGAGACGATGTATACATACGTCGTCGTGGCTACTTTCTGCAAGTAAACTTATTAGACTCAATGCATTCGTCTCTCAAAGAAAGAAGGTAAAGCTTATACGTTAGTGTTGGAGATAAAGAACTATTGCTAGCGTCTGCCTTGCTACGAAAGCTCGAAGTATCCCGCAAAGGATACATAGACGTGAAGCGTAATCATACATAAGAGATAACCGATATGTCACGAAATCTACTATCTCTTACATACTTACTCTTCATATTCTTCCTCCCTTACTCAAAGGTGAGCAAATTTCGAACTATGCATCCTCTGTGCGTACCTCCGCGTCTCGTCAGATATCGTTCATCGAGCGGAAGGGGGCGTCTGGCTCAACTGAATAGACACATGGTGTGGCGTCGTGCGTGGTGCGTCGTCGTCTCTCATACTTTCTTTCCCTCTCTCTCTCATACTTTCTCTCTCTTTCTCTCTCATACCTTTCTCTCTCTTGCGTGCTCTTACTCATCACTATCTCTCTCCTCTCTCAATACTTTCTTCTCTCTCTCTCATACTTTCTCTCTTCTTTCTTTCCCCTCTCTCTCTCTCTCTCTCTCTTCTCTCTCTCTCCTCATCTCTCTCTCTCTCTCTCTCTCTCTCTCTCTCTCTCTCTCTCTACTCTCTCTCTCTCTCTCTCTCTCTCTCTTCTCTCTCTCTCAATTAATAAAAGGCTATCACTTACTATTTCAAAACATCCTCCAGGAAGTATTCTTTAACTGGGGTACTTCCAGGAACTGTAAATGAATCATTATTTTTCAGATTTGTTAGAATAGAGGCATCATTTGAGTTAGATAACCTACAATTCATACAGTATACCAAACAACTGTTAGAGGCCACCATGGATTATTTCTTGAAAGTAGCAAGGACACAAGTGCCAACAAGTATACTGCTTATGCAGGTAATTAGTTCAAATAACACATGTATTTTTGCAAACATACAGTACAGTACATACAGTACTCGATAAAGACATTGATCATGAGTTCAACTCATTACTGCCGGTATATTTTGAAGCCAAAAAAAAAAAAAAAAAATTCCGGGTGGCTACAAAATCGGCTGGCCTGGACTCTGCCCGCACACCGGCCGCAGCACGCTGCTGCATCAGAGCACAAGCCCCTATACAGCTAAAGATGATAGTTCACAATGACATCTGCTCTAAAATAAAAGTTGTATGGATTTTGAAAATCAGTACTGGTCTTCATAACGAACTGAAACAGGCATTGCACCTTTTTCATGCATTTCTAGTAAAAAATGCAACCTGTGGATACTACCATAGGCCATATATGCCATAAATACATGGACAACCAACCCACCCTCACATTCAATAGTATTTATTCAATTACTTGCAAAGATAGTGTATGCAAATATATGAACACAAACAGTATGCTGGTTCCCCATACCCAATGGCCATTTTTTAACCTATTAAAGAAAACAGTTTGGATCCACAGGCTAATCAATATTTTTTCCTTTACACAGAAATGGATTTTCTCCTATCAAATACGAAAAGTTCAAATGGTTAACCCTATATGCGTGTTTTTATATACATATCTACCTCCTTGGAAATTACAACCACCCTACAACCAGCTCCCTCCCCCATCCATCTGGAGTGTGGGAAAGATTCAACAATTTCATTAAGTCTCACACTCTATTCATTTTACATATGTGCTTCTATAATTCTTAACACTGAATCACCATGTTGTATTCATGTTAGGATTATGTGATTATAGTAAATTAGTATTGATATTGCCATCCACTGTCCTCCATTTCTTCATAATCTGATTTTCAAATAAAAGAAGAAAACCATTACTGGTTCAGCTCATTAGTTTTCTTTACAATTAAGGAATATATCAAATGATTCAGACAGGAATACCTACTTTCATATAAAAAATTGAGAGAAAAAAAGAAGTTCCTTTACAAAATATGGTCATTATTGCAAATACTACTCTGATTAAATTAGCTTTTTTATATATTGAACATCATTAGATCAAATGAACATTGACAAGTATTCAAATTTCAAATGGCTTATTCTCCATTCTGTTTACATTTACTCCAATACTGTCCAGTGTCTACTTCTGTATGCCTCAAAATAGGACATTCGTTCAATATCAGCTTTTTTTATTTCATGAAAAACAGCAAAATGTATTTTACATAAGACTGAAAAAAAAGGCTCAAAAAGACTGGACACATTTCCACCTCCTACAAAAAATATGGAAATTCAATACACACTTCAGAAAGAGTTGATATAGTTGGAGAATATTTTTTAAGTTATTCTGGAAAAAAAATACAACTTATGGGCAGTATTTTGGTCACTTCATAGAAAATGTATAGTTTTCGTCTTTTGGGGGGCTCTCAGGGTATAAAAGATACATAAAAAGAAGTACAATTATATACTCTGGCATGCAAAAAACAACCAATTAGTTATCTAAAACTGATATCTTTTTATGGTCAAATGAACAGAGCTAGGTTGGCATCATCATGGGCATACATCCATACTTTCAAAGAGTTATCCTTACCATCGATAACAGGACAATTATTGAAGTATTTGGCATAGAGGTTAACGTCCAGAGCAGCTGACATAAGGATGAGCTTCAGATGTCTGAACTTGTGGAGGCAGTCTCGCAAGACAAGCAGAAGGAAGTCTGTGAACCTGTCACGCTCATGAACCTCATCGACAAGAACTGAAATGTAAGAGTATCTCATCTGAGCTGCAGTTATTATAGTGATTTTCTCTTTTCCTTTTCATATGTAATCCATCAATTCAAACGAACCAAAGGGCAACATTCATACATAAAAAATACTGGCAAATATCAATAAAAATCTATAAATGGGCAGAAGTATGGGATACACATTAGCATGGGGTGAATGGACATTCTAGCAAGAACATGTGATCACACTGACTTACTATGAGTGACACTAGCTAGCGAGGAGTCTCCCCCCATGAGCGTCCGTAACAGGACACCGTTTGTACAGAATGTCAGGAGAGTTTTGGGAGACAATCTGCGAAGAACATTCATTTAAAACAAAAAGCAGAAATAGTGGTCTCAATTTGCAAGAACTGCAGACAAACATTCAAAACATTTTTTTAGCTTTTATCAGTGAAATACAAAGTACAAAAACACAGTTCTTACTTGCTCTCTAGTCTGATTTGGTATCCTACTGTGTACCCAACTTTCTCTCCTCGTTCTGCTGCTACTCTCTCTGCTGTTGTCAGGGCCGATATCCTCCTGGGTTGTGTACAGAGCAAGTGGCCGACAA